AAAGCGAAAAAAAAAGACCAGTACAAGAAGTCTTGTACTGGAACAAATTAGATTAAACTGGTTCAAAAATATATTGAACCTGAACTTAACATGTATATCAAGATAATCACTTATTTAGCCATAATATAAGTTATAGTCTTAAGTTAATAACCTGAACATACCTGAACGTATTTGCTTGTCTTATTCGAGTGTTGAAGAATCTGCCTTGATTTCCATGGTTTGTTCAAAGTGCTGTCTTTATGTTTGTCGTGTGATGAAGGTGAAACAAGTCGAAAAAGTTCAAGAATTGAAAACAAAAACAATAAAATCAGAACTGCTTTGTGCATGAGCTTAAATTGCATATCTCGTTTATAAAATGAGGATTAAAGTTTAATTAAAGCCCCTTTTTACGGCATACATAAACAAAAATGTGGATATTGTAGTCTTCGTGCTGAACAAGCATAATCTTTAAACTTACTATCTTATGTTTCATGCAGGTTCATAGTACAAGGTGCTGCCATCCATTTTCCATCATCTTGGATTTGTACTCGTTCCAGTTCTAAACCGCAGCCACAGGAACTCCAAGAAAGGTCATTTTGGCGCGAATTTGATTGCTGGTTTGGTTTTGGATTAATATATTTCTTTTATTTGTGTACAACTGTTTCTTGACTGAAACGAAGCACACATCATGGTGAGTTTTATCACTATACTAAATCTAATTAAGGCACAACAATTCTTCAACGATTCTTCTTCCTTAAATTTTTCTCAGTCGAAGAAGAAAGGTCTAAGTTTCGAGGAAAAACGTCACAGATTGCAGCAGTTGTTCTTTGAAAAGGTAAAATGGAGAAAATTTGCAACGAAAACAAGGCCTAAATACTTGAATATAAGCTTATGTGTGCATTAGTCAATTAGTTTAATAAAATATGAAGTAAGACTTGTTAAGCTTATGTTGTTTGGTTGCAGAAAGATTTTTTCCAGCTGAAAGAACTTGAAAAAATAGCTCCTAAAGAGAAAGGAATAAGTACGCCTCTGTGTGTTGTTGTTTTAATATCTTTTAAGGGTTTTTTCCACCTGTGAAATACAGTCTGCACCTTAGTTAACAGAGACTAGTCTCCCTCTACTAACTATGAAAACTCATGAATTAACTCATGCTTGTGAAAATATAGTGAATGTCAAATCTAGTGATGTCCCAAATTCAAATTATGCAAATGAGGTTATGTAGTGAAAGAAAGATATAAGAAAGATATTTGTCTCTCTTTAAATAGCTTCCATGTCAGTAAAGGAAGTTTTGCAAAGTCTAGTTGACGATAACCTWGTTGACACSGAAAAAATTGGTACATCTGTTTACTTTTGGTCATACCCAAGCAAGGCYATGCATACAGTAAGTGTACATTTTTGAAAGATGATAAACGATGTCTTTAGAGCAAGAGTGCATATTTTGTTGGGCTATAAAGATTTTTAAAATGACTTCTGCTTTAAATACAAAAATTAAACTGTTGGTGTTATAGCCATAGCAGAAGGCCAA